AAATGTTCAAAGATTAATTAATTTTCAATTTACAGAATACTATAATATTTGAATTATAAGAGATTTAAACGATAAAAATCATCAAAAATCTTGTATCTTGTAAAAACTGAAAAAATCGTAAGGTAAAATTATAATTTATCAAATTATAAAAATTTAAGACTAAATTATAAACATGTTTTCTATCAATATTAATCTCAAATTTTGTATTTCAAATTTCATTAAAATTATGACATTTTAAAATTCACTTTTTCAATTTCACTTAAATTCATAATTTTATATAAAAATCGAACTATTGAAAATATATTTAAATTCTAATTAATTTATTAAACATTAAAATAACATTGATTACTTTTATTTTATAAATATCTTAATATTATATTTAATGAATAGGTACTACATATAAGTATATTTATTATTAGTATATGCACTGTAAATATTACATATTACAAATTGCACGTTGCCTACTTAGAATTTCAACATAATAGTATAATTAGTTACATTTTAAATCCATTTATAACAATATTTTAGACTTATAATAATATTACGTAAATTAGTAGATCATCTGAAAAGGCGGTTTCAGTATCTGATTCATTAGCGTACTTGTTCGGTCTAGTCAAACTTCAAAGAAGTAACTTCCACTGTACCCACATAACCAATAGCTAATCGGCATTTCATTTTACAATTCATGACAAGCCACCACACTGCGCAGCTATATTTGCGAGATTTTCACGCTCAGAGAGATAATATAAATGGTTGAGGAACGATCGAATAAATGATCGCGTCGAATGGACCAGTGCTTACCATATTTCAACTTTCCACGCATGGACATTAACTTCGTTCTAACCGATGTGCATCATTTTTCAGTTTTTCATAATTTATTTTAATGAAACTTTTGAAAATGATTAACAGACCATTAAAGATGCATGAGCGTGCGTCGTAGTAAAATGTATACTTGTGGTTATTAATGGTGTGAATCACATTCATTTAATCATGTGGTTAACTGCGAGTCTTATTAAATTGAAGAAAGACAGAACAATATTGCATCATAGCGGACCATTCATCTCACATGCTTTTTTGTTAAAAATATATTCTTAAAATCTTGTAAGTATAATTTCTTAGGTTTTGTAAATAACGCATTAACCAATCATCGGGTGATTGTATCAACAAACAGTTAATGAAAGAATGGGATTTAGAATATAAAGAAAAAAAAATGGCACGAAGAGACTTGAAAAATGCATATGGGAACAAGGAAAAAAGGAACGTCACCTAGTACGGTGAGCAATGATTACGATCCAACGTGCAAAAGCGTCAGGCTTTGAGTAATATATTGGTTCTGAGTAACTTCCTATCGGCGCAGCATCTACTCGATGCCAAGACAATAGGATCTTCATCTCCATTCGCTCGCGCGCTTTTTAATCGAGCTCTCCCTTCTATTCCTTGTCCCTGTACTTCTTCATACACACATACACACACAAACTCTCTCTCTCTCTCTCTCTCTCGCGCGCGCGCTTTGCCCCTTACTCCTCAATCGCGCCTGCACACGGGCACACGTAATCTGCGTCTTTCGACACTCGATCGTTTTCGTGCGCAGTATCACCGACTTTAGCGTCTCGTTCGATTGGTTCATGGCGCGAAAAATCCGAGCGGAATGCCGCTGACCTGCCACGGCATTCGCATTGCGAGGATGTAACGAATAGTCAGCATTGCGTTTCATTTGGTCTCATTGCAGAGGAGGTCCGTGCTATTTGTAGCCTGGCACACGGGACGTGCCCAACCCGCGAAACCGGCGAGATGGGCTGCGTAATGCGGCGACCGCCGGATGATCCTCGAGGAAATCTCGATCGAATCAACGTCATTGCCGAGTGGCCTACCTGCGGCGACCCCGAGATGTCGGCCCCCACAAACACCGTTGGCCTACGAATGAAAAGTATTTTGTTTTTACGACTTCCCGTTGCTGCGGCCTTGCTTCCGAGCTTCCACAGTAAACTACATTTCCAATTATATCACGTGACTCATCCGTAGGACAGCATTTAAGAAATACATGATTTATTGATCTATTTGAATCGATAATAAAACAATTTCATTTCCACACAACTCCATGAGAAAGAGCACACGGAAGAAAGTTATTGAAATGGCGGGCTTTCAATCATCTTGATATGTTCATTCTCGGAGAATTATAACCCGGCAAGAAAATGCAAGAGATTTGTCGAGAAGCTCAATATATAAATACATGGTATAGCTCGGATGTACCAAGTTGGCGAGCGCATGATACTCTAACGGCTCGCTTAGGAACATACCAGAGATGGTCACCATTGTCGCGCTCAGCTCTTCTATGCGACGATCGAAAAGGATTAAATAAGTCTCGGGAATCCGAGCTATCCTCCCAGATAGATAGTTAGGCTTTTTCGGGGCGACTTTCCCCGAGGGTTGCGAAAATACACGTCCCCGCGCTCTTTATTTGATTTTTTTTATAATGTCAGGATGGGTGTTTGGGAAGCAGCATCAGTCATGAGGATCGAGGCAGAACCTCGAAATGGCATGGAAAGTTATCGGGAACCGAGGGTGTTATATAACTTCAACTGTTGGTGGGGCAATTTTATAAATTTCAAAAGCTTTTCGATTTAATATTATTCCCGAGTTTAAGTTCCGATCATAATTTTGTATCCAAGGAAATAAATGAAATAGTTATAGATTATAGATATAGAGTCATATGAATTACAAGATTATGCGTGAATATCACAATATGTCGATGTTACGATGATTCTTTATGATTAGAAACACTTAATAATAATGTAATTGAAGCTGTGTATTTGAGGAATATATTTTCAATATAGGCATGTGCGTTGAATATATATTTCAACCATGAAATGCCTAAGACAATTTATTAAAAAAATATAATGAATAAAGAATAATAAAATAATAATGAACACTATTAAAATTTAATTAATCATAAGTTCGTGTTTAATAGTGTTATTTAAAAAGATAGCAGATTTTATAATTAAAGCAATACTAATTAATAATTAATTATCATACAAAAGCATACAATTGGAACAAATTTTTTTTAAATATTTAAAGTTTGATATGTATCTTGTAGACAACTTACTATTGTTAATAAAATTCTGTACAAGCTGTTGAAACATATCCAACTTTAACTAAAATTAACAGTTCAAACTGAATAAACTTTTGCACTAATTTAAATAATAGATTGCTAAATTATTGATTACTATATTTTTTATTATAATTAATCCTATGTACTATCTATACCTTTTATTGAATTTAGAGTTATTTTACTATTTCCTTTTGATAATAACGATTAATAGAAATTATATTAAAATGGTAGATTAAATTTTTAATAATAAATAAATACCAAGAAATTTAATACAATTTAATAAAATATTACATTATTACTATAAATATTCTGACTATTGAATTTTTCATTTTTAATTGCAATTTATTAACAACTATTTTTTCAAATTGACATAGAGAACAGCCATGACAGCTTCTATATTATTCTTTGATATTAAAAAAGCTTCTATCTAAAACTACGTTCTCTATTTCTTGTGTGTTTAATATAGAAAATATGTCGAGAGCCTCATAAATAAGATAAAACAGAGATATAAAAGCAATCTCTCCTATGTATTCCCATTGGACGTATTCGAAACTCGACGATGAAAACGTCGTTCATTTTTTCATTGAACCCTCGTCCTCAAGGCCCACGCCATTTTACGAATCAAGAGGAAGGCGTGTAGATGTAAGGGCGAGGTTCTCGTCTATAGAGGGGATCCGACGGGCGCAGGAGGTGGAACAACGGTCGTGAGGACAAACGGCACATAAGGAGGGTTGTCTTTGATACACGAAAGCGTTCTCGGCTGCCGCAAGCAAAGCAAGGCTTGATCACAGATAAAGGAAAACCAATGCTACGGGAACGTTTAAGACGTTAGCGGGCGAATAGTGATGAAAGAATGGAGGGGGGAGCTTTTATAAGAGTAAACTTGCGAAAAGTGCGAGCGCGGTTCAAGATGAATCTCGAAAATTTCGAGATCTGACGTTATTTACTGCGACGGGATGATCGTGAACGCGGTGAGATCCTATCGCAAATTGAAGTATTGGTTGGTGAAAGTTCTTATAAAGGAAACTTTGAGTGCTTTGCGTGCATATTTTCTTCCTCGACGCAAAGTAAAAGTTTTTATGCATCATAATTACAAGAGAGGAATTATTTGTCTTCTGTCTTTCATATAAACGAACTGTTTGTAGCTCCAGCAGTTATTGTACCGATAAGAATATTTTATGAATTAAATTTACGAAATTTTTTAGCTTAACCTAGACCTATATTGGATTGATATAAATAAGAATTTTTTACCGAAAAATAAAGTTACAAATCTATTTTGACAATTATTAATATTTCAAATTACTATATGAATTTATTTGTAACAAAACTTATATAAAATAAAATTACTATATTTAAATAGCATCTTTGTATATTCAAACAGTAGATGTCGCAAGTCGTCACAAGTCGCAATAGGCAAAGATTCGATTTTGTAATTGATAAATTTTCAAATTCTTGAAGAATAAGATTTTAAAGGAATGCTATACTATATTTTAAAAGTTTTCTTTATATTTAATATAGACAATACTTTTATACTTGATTTAAGCATACAATTTCCATATATCCAAAACTAATGAATTTCTCTAAAAGCTATAACATTTGATTGAATTCTAAAAAATGAAATCAATTTTCTTTAATATTTAAAAATATTTAAAATATTTTTAAATTCATAAATATTTAAAAATTTTACATTATAATTGTAATTCATGTAGTTTTATAATCAAATTATTAATTAATCTAATTTCTAATCTCTTATTTCTTCCTTATATGATTTTCGGTTATAATATGCTATTTGATTAGGCTACAGCATCAATGGAATATAATGTAAAATTCGGAACTGAAGCAAAATGAATAAAAGAAAGCTTAATTATAACTGCATATTGATATGTTTCAGATCAATGTTAATCAGCGTTCACTAGAATCAGCGGGCCTGGAGCTGTGCGACGCCGGTGGCGGTGCAGGTGGTGGTGGTGGTGCCGGCGGCGGGGCTGGAGGAAACGGAGCGTCGGGTGTACCTCAAGGTCAATCGAGCAGCGCAGGCTCCATAGGCTCAGCGCCAAGCCCTGCCTCGCCCAGGCCAGCCCCTCAGCATCGGCCACCACTCACCACTTCGTCCCAATCCTCGAGAAACCTCGATGATGACAGATCTACTGATGGTAATTCTCGCCTCTCCTTGTTCTATCCAAATGGACTTGTTTGTTAATTTAAATTATCGATAGTGTATGAAGGATCGACAGAAAAATAAGTGAAATAAGTAATGAGAAGAAAAATAAAAATAATAATTTAATACCTCGATCACTATTAAAGCTGTAATTATTTTTAATTAAAATAGAACATCAAATTGTCCTGTAGGAAGCTTTAACCGTATATTTGTCGTAATGACTAAATACAATAAAAGAAGTGTGTTTTACTAGTACAAGTAAAATAAGAAATTACATTTGTATATTAAATTATCTATATAATATTTGTAATGTATATTACTTATTATTTATAACTAGTATAATTTGTAACATAGAAGCAATTTAAGATTTATTTAATATAAACAATCTTACATTACTTCTATGTATAGTAAGTAAAGAATGTTACTTAAAATATGAATAATCAAAATGATTAAAAATTAAAAGCATTAATTAGTATATGTTGATTTTTCTAAAATGGAAATAAAAACAAAATTAGATAAAATAGTATTAAGTATTATTATTAATTAGTTAAGTGTTTTAAAAAAATATTATTAAATGCACTGTTATTCAATATATATAATATAAAGGAAATAATTACGAACAAGTAATTTACTCTTCAATGTTTAATGTAAATGACATATAATATTTTATCATAAAAAATAAAAAATTATTTATCGTAAAATTACTTTTACGATGTGGGGGGCTTTCGTTTCTTCTTTGTATAAATAATATTAATAATTATAAATAGTACTTTCAAATTAATTCTTCAAAGGTCGGATTTTGGGAATAAATTTTTTCATTTTAGGACAGTCGCTGAAACAGAACATGGTAAACTAGAAAAATGCTATTTAGTATTAGTCTATTAAGTTTTTCAAATGATTAAAACTTGAAATACGTAATTTAATTTAAAATATCTAATATCATTGGTTATATAATATAGCAGAACGAATAGGCGTTAAACATGAGTCGTCTTACCCTACTATAGACCATGATTAATTTTCGTCCGACCTGCACTTGCAAAACTGCTTTTGTCCACGCTGTCAGAATCATAAAAGCGTCGAAAAATCGATTTCGACCCAACAGGACATTCAGTTACGGTTTTCAACCCTCGAAACATTAAAAAATCAACGATTAACTAATAAAAATTAAAATTAAAAAACTATAGGGACAGCTATTTATCTTTTCTTTCTTTCTTTTTAAGCATTAAATTAATTAAAATTAAATTAATTTAAAATTAATACATGAAACTTCATGAAAAGTAGAATTGAATCAATATTTATTATTGAAACGACGTATTTTAAAAGATAGCCAATATATATATATATATATTTTGACATAATATAATATAATAATAATATTTGACATAATATTTTATATTTCAGCAGTTGGACCTAATGCTACAACAGATGATTCTGATGATAGCGAAAGTAGAGCACAATATGTTAGTGCAAATTGTGTAGTTTTTACTCATTATCGAGGAGATGCAGCAACAGAAGTCGAAGAACACTTTCAGAGGGCGCTCGCACAAGATAAGCCGAAAGGTTTATTATGCATTTGATTAATATTTGATACTAATTATCTGATTAATATATTCCAGTACTGAATTATTTGGCATTGAATTTTACAAATTTGAGTAATATTCTTTATATAAATGTATTTCATATAATTATTCATGTAAAATTATTAGAATATTCAACATTTTAATTTCAACAAAAAAGTAATTTATTTGACAACTAACTTAATAACTAATTTATTTTACAATTATATTGATTTGCGAGATTAATTATAATGTTATAGATAACAATAACCCTATGATAACAAGAAACTTCCCAGCCTCATTCTGGAAAAGTCATCACGAAGTTTATGAATATACCGATCCTTGGCATTCACATTATACTCAATATCACCCTCGGTAAGTGACGTGTAACTTTATACGGCGAAATTATTATTGTTTTACTAAATTAATAAAATCATTTGATTATGTGTTTAAAACTTTTTTATATTTAACGAATAATTGATATAAATTGTTTTTTTTACGCAAATTATCTTTTCAAAAACATTCTTTTCAAAAACATTTAAACTTCAACAATTAATTTTATTAACTTAACTTTGTTGTAATATAATATAAATAAGTCAAAAATTTTTAATCAAATATTGAAGGAATGACAAATGTTTTTGAGAAATGAAATCATAAATTGAAATGTAGAAGCATTTTATGGGTCTTTTGATAAATAAAACTGCTTTTGTTTGTTTTTGATAAAATCATTATAATCATAGTAAATAAGATTATGCTAAACTTATAACTGATAATTGTGATTTTATTAGAATTTCAAAAGCTTTTGATTAAGTTATTTATTAAATCTGTATTTATTTGAAATTGGCTTTTGAAGAATAAAAATTAAATCAAATTATGGGCATCTGTATAAAAAGGACAAATATTATTTACATTGATTGTGAAGGTAGTTACATTTTTTAATGGATATTAGAAATTGTAAGAAGTATTTCTTTCAGCCAAGAAATCTATATTCTTAGAAACTAATAAAAACTAGTCTATTAAATGCGGGCCATCCATAGCCAGCCGTTTTAATGTATTGATTACCTGTATAAATAAATAATTATTATTTCGAAACTATCTAGTTTATGGAGCGAATAATCATGAATGACATAAGAAAGGGCACAATAAAAGTAAAAGCGCTTTCAGTATCATATAATTTATTATATACAATGGCAAGGTATAAATAAGTGCAGGTCATTTTTTATTAGTATGGAGCCTTACTTTTCAACACCAATTTCAATATTTTTTCACCCCGCACATATCTCTAAATCAAAATGCATCCTTTTTATACAGACTGCAGGAAACTCGATATTTCGAGGAAAAAGAGAAGTGAAAGAAATCCCAATCTTCCCTCCCATCGAGCAAAACGCTACGACTCCATTCTAAGTTCTGCAACATTCCAGCTGCCTTAGAGCGGCATGCGTGCAAAACGAAAAATGCGACCGATGCACGAAAATGTAACGCTTATATTATCCAATGTAATACAGGCGCACCATTTCCGCGTGTCGTAAAGCTTAAGACTCGAGGTTAATTCATCGGTCGCATTGCCAAGTCATCGATCCCAAGCCCCTTCAATAACTCTACGACTTTGTCTGCCCGCGACGACAGGGCCGTCCTCATAACAGGGCCGCAGAAAGCTACAACAGTCGCCTGCGGAACCGCAGCCTCGGACATCCGACCACACATCCAGGCGTTCCGCACCACGCGCATACCGCTGCCACTTACAAGGATTGGACGTCGGCGACACCTTCACAGTCGCTCGTCGATGCGTCCTCAGCACCACCCTATCCCCATGGCCCTTACGCGCCCCTATCGAGCGATTACTGGACGTGAAGGGGGCGCGAGAACTCAATCCTAATTTTACTTCTTATCATCCTCACCCTCGAGTTCACTCTCCTGCACCTCCTCGTCCTATTACCCGCGGCATACTGATGCGTTGCTTTATCCGGAATGTCCTGAGTCACTTGGGACCTGGGCGCCTTCGACTAGATTTGACTGGATGATTTTGTGCCTCAATGTGCTGGTAAAGCTCACATAGTCAGGCCAAACGTATCTTCGACTTGACCAATCGATCACTGTAAGCTCAAACGACTGACCACAAAATAATTTTCGCGAACCTATGAATATAAATTGAATCAACGTGGGAAAGCGAATGTTATAATAGGCCGCGCTTTTAACCAAAAGTTATAAAGCTTAAGGGTGACAGATTAAATAGTTTTCATCAGCGTTATAATTATATGGTATTTTTTACTGTGCAGCCAATTCAAATAGAAAATAAAAATTTCCAGCATCATTAGGGGTCTCACGAGCCAGCATGTGATACACCAGATACTTTAGGATTTTATTGAAAAATATAAAAAACGTGACTCTGATTAAATTCTAATTGAAGGTGTCCACGTTCAATAATATTTATATGTAAGTGATAAAGTATTTGCTAACTGTATATTTATTCTGTATATGTAAAACTTAGACGAAATATGAAGACCAAACTAACATGTATAACAATGGATACAGTTTTAATTTTCTAATATCCATCATTCGTATGGAGAATGTTTGGTCATGGCACAATAATTTGGTAGATACTGCTACCTAGAAAATAAAAAATATCATTTTTGCAAAATGCGTGTAGTATACAATATAATATTTAACGCTATTAATCGAACTAATTAAATTTTCGCATTTAAGCAGTTTTTGATCGATTAATTTTTAATACACTTACTTACAATATCAAGATATTGAGTAGTATTATTGTTTCAAATATATATTCAAAGATGTATCGCTGTTTGATAATCATTATTAACCCAAATAAATCCGAATAAAATACACATGCAAAGAAAACGTTCGATATTTAGATCTTCATCGATTTTGACGATGTTAATGAATTTGCAAAAATGATTCTTCTTTCGACTGTTAAAATTGAATAAAACTTTACGTTGACATTAAGATAATTCCATTGTAGTCGATAAGTAGTTATTTATTCAGCTGCTCCTGCCAAATTAAATACACAGGGGAACAGGCTTCATTATCTTATTCTATTCATTAGCTCTCTTATCGTCTGCTAAATTACTCGATTAAATGTACTGCAAAAATGATTGCGTAAGAGAACATAAATTAAACTATGGATATGAGATATAACTTTTTCATAAAACGATCCGACGATTCTGGCGCTTATGCACCTGCTTTAATCAACTAAATTTCTTATATCATTTTCGGGTGGATCTAAAGTATATGAGTAAACGCGTATCTAGAATTATAGTGATAAATATGTACAATTCTATGCGTCTTGGCGAATTAGGCTATCTAAATGGTAATAGTCAAAGCATACAACAGTAGTCATCATTCATCTTGGAAAAACTGTAAGGTTGATTAAAGCCCGAGTCTTTTGTAGTTGTAATTTCATCGCGACAAATAATGAAACTTTTGATTCTCTTTATAGGAGCACCTCTTTACCACAAGATAAACTTATAATTTTCAATTATTTGAAAGTAATATAAACCTTTTTTAAATTAAATTGTTTATGAAGTAACTTTATTTCACTTTTAGATAGAAACAAATCATTATTTTTTTTTTTATTAAAAAATATAATTATGGCATGCAGTATTCAAATTTTTTAATATAATATAAGTCGTGCTTAAATTAATCCTCAATTTGAACTCAACATATGCAAAATACCAAATATATATGTGCTGAAGTGCATAGAATAATAAACGTGTATGATTGTAATAAAATATTTGTTGTGTACACACATCGCATTTTTTATATATCATTATTTCTGGTCAAAATAAATTTTTTATATGAATATTTTAACTATCATAAATAATAAATTATAAAATATATTTATAGAATTAGAATTTCTTTCTGAGATTTTTGATGAATTTTCTATCAAAATTAATTTTACTTGAATGATATTTACAAACATAACATTATTAGTTAATATTGTTATAAAATATGTCAAATTAAAATATTCAATTTATTTATATATATTATTTTTAATAATAAAATTCCAGTTCTTTTCAAGAAAAATTTTGTTTAAAATTGTAATCGCTATTTCATTTCCATTAATGAATTTGTGTTAATATAAATATTACTTCTTTAATTCAACTCAATGTCTATATCTGTACACAATTATACAAAAATAAATAAAAAAAAAAATATCAGACAAGACATTTAAGAGTGCGAAATGTGAATCGACTTAGTGTACATAAATGAAGATGTTGGATTTCTCATTTTTTTTTAATATGAAAAATGAATTAGAAATAAAAATTAATAAACTGTTTTGATCTCTTATTTAAATGTCCACGATATCGACGTATAGTTATGATTGAATAAAACTTCATTTGTTTCATCCCTAATCTACGTAATACTCGTAACAAAAGAGTAAACATACGTAAAAATAAATTTTTATTTACTTTACCTGAATAAATAATAGTTTATGAATTTTCATTCGAGCATTACTATATGTCTGGACGCTAATAACTGTATTATGTATAAAAGCGACAATAGGGGCTAGTGGCACTGTCCGACATTTATACCGAATGATTCTTACACTTGTGATGATAGACAAAAAGATAAGAAATGTAATAAATTGTTACAATTAAATTGTTTTTATTACGTTACTGTCGGACCGTGCAATCTATAATTTGTTAATAATTGTCAAGTGAATATAAATTTGCCTATGCAATCTATTATATAGTACTTATTATTCTGTTCCTTTTATTGAAAAAAGAATCTATACAATCGAAACTCAAAATATGTATAATGATTCCTCAAGTTTTTCCTTTTAGTGGAATAAATAATCACGGCCAATTGTCAAATATTTAATATTATAATAGCGATATTTTATTCTATGTTTGTACAGTCACTAGGGGCGTATAATAAAAACAAATGTATTAAAAATTAATTGATATCTGCGCTTATTGTACTTAAGAAATTCGACTTCACGATGCAGCTGAGGAAAGCTGACGTGTAAATACTCATAATAAACGTGCTTTCGTTAACCTGCCCATTAAATAGTTTCCAAGCAAATCATATTAATTAATATAATTTCCTCGTATAATTTTCCTTGTGTCTCTATTTTAAATATCGTTGTACATTTTTTTTTAATTCCTAATAATATATGTTTTCATATTTATTAATATTCTTTAATAATGTGCCTACTTTTTTCAACGTTTTAAAATTAAAATACATTATGTTTTTAATAAATATGATGATTCTTTATAATGAAAAAATGGCAATATTGATTTCAATTTAATAGGACAATTATGGAGAAGAAATAATTTTTTTAAATTTATAAATTGTATCCATTGTTTATCAGTATCCATTTATAGTTTTTTTGATGAAAAATATAAATTAACACTAATTATGCAGTAAACACAAGGTACTTTTTACTATACTGCTTTGATATAAGAAATAGTAAACCTTAATTCGGTTATAAAAATTGAATTTATAGTTTAATAATCTCGATAAAATCTCTATACATAGATGTACTTAAATATTAAATATTTCATTTAACAATTTTGAATTCTTAAATTAAAATAATTCGATAAACTATTGTAACTGGAAGAATAAACTATTAATTTATTATTAAATATTTCACACAATTAAAATTTTATAAAAAGGTATGAATGAAAAATATAAGTAATATGTAATTATAGGGTATTTAATTAAAAATTACATAGTTTAATAATTAAGATATGCTTATGCAATAAAAAGAATAAGTTTTTCAGTATCCGTAGCAAGAAAACAAAATAAATATCGAAGAGTCTCAGAATACAGAAGTCATTATACAATATAATTTATTATTTTGATACTTGTATTCCATTTTCTTTATATATATATTCTAGAAAATCGTATAGACAACAATGTATTATCTAAAATAATATTTAATTTATTTAAGAAAATAATAGCTATTTATAATAAAAATTTCCATAATAAAAATATATATAAATATATGTTTATATATTTTTTAATTATTTTATCATAGATAAGTTTGATAAATCAATAATCAACCATAATTTATAATTATTTAAATAAGATAATTCTATTATAAGTTATCATGATAAATATAAATTTTACTTTTAAAGTTTAATTATACAATAATCCATTATTAAATTTGTGAATATTGTCTGTATGTTTAGTTCAATATTTTTTGGAAAAATAATAATAATTAAAAAAAATTAAGTACAATGGCTATTAATATAAGTAAAATATACGTTACAATATACAGATGTATTCTATAACGCAATTAATTCTTCGTGCTTAATAACAATTTCCTCAACCAACTTCATCTTTCATTTGAATGGATTCCGATATTTTGTATAACTTTTAAATAAAAATATATTAAAGCCTGTATATAAATAACTTACAAAGATAAAGTCATTAATGGAATGAAATCATTTAAAAAGTGACGTAATTAAAAAAAGTATATAATTATGGTACATTTGTTCATCATCTAATTATTATATAATTTTTTCATAAAAATTTGTTTTCCCAAATGATATGTTCTTTAAAGCTATTATTTGCACATCTATTTGCAAATATTTGGAATGAATTGATATTCCAACAGACGTTTCATAATGAAATACCAGATGCAGTGTATTGTATAAGAAATCTAGACTCTTATCACTTAATATTTATGAAAGTTTATTTGAACTGGTGATTAAGTAGCAAATATCTTTGGGTATATGAATTGACATCAAAATATTAATCTTAAAGTTGCTTTTAAAAAGCAGTACAATATATTTCGTATGAAATACAAAATTTTGTGAGAATAATGATAAAAGTAAGTAAAAATCGTCAAAACACTGATAGTGTAAACAAAGTTTATTTTTAATAATTTCTATTTGTTTGAAATATTGCTGTATGTATTAATGTTATTTTTAATGTAATAAAATATTTAAATATTACTTTGTTACCATATCTACGAACAAAATACAGAAATAACAACAAATAGGAAATAGATTTTTCATATTTATACGTTCATATTTATATAATATAAAAAAGTATTAAAATCAACTTTTGAATAATATTATAAAATAATTTATGAAGCTTTTAAAGTGTGTATAAAATAAAATTCTATTAATCTATAATATCAAAATCTAGATAATCTATAGATAACATAACAAATGTTCCAATAAAATTTTATCAATAATGATTATTGATTCATTTCAATTTCAAGTTAAAATTATCTATAAGTTAAAAGATAATATAGAATTTTTTATATTTCATATTTTAAATATCAATTATATTTTCAAATATTCATTTCAAAGATAAAAAGTGTTTAGATATCTACAGAAAAAATTCTTAAAAAGTATGATAATTCGAGAAAATAATGTGAACTAAAGTACTAGTATTAAAAATAGCTTTTAGTAGCAGTTGTCAAAAATAATAAATGGGTTCTAAATATTTCAGCGCGCATTACTGATATCTATACAACTGACCACCGCGATAATGGCTGTTTTATGGATCAGACCACAACAAAGCGAATCATGGCCTCCGAGACTCTAATATCAAATTGAAAATTTATTATACAATAGACAGTCAAAATTCATCTTCAACATTATCGGATTTCAACAATTGCCTTAAAATAAATATTATATAGTTTAGTCAAATATTTCAATAAAAAAATTTTTCAAATTTTGGAAATCTATAATATTTATAAATAAATAACATATCCTAAACTCATTTTACAGTTTTCGATTTAATTATTACTTTACATTTTCATGCAATTTATGATCTTTTTTTTATTATACATACAATATACAATCTTTAAATTTCATATGATACACACTATTGTAATAATTTATTTAAACTGTTTTAACTTAATCCTAAATAAGTAGTAGTTACAAATAAAAATAATTATTAAAAAAAATGCTAATTTAATAAATTTTGTTAGCAAAATTGAAATAACTAAACCAGTATTCTCAAGTATACTTCACGAAATAATTTTCTGTAACAGTAAATTACAACGAGTTAATTTAAGTTTTATTACATAATCTTGAAGTGCGATGAATAATATGGTGAATGAATGTAGATATCTGTAAACCAAATGTACACCAATCATTGTAAATGATTTACAAAATTTATTATTATAAATACATTATAAATCAAATTATTAATTTAATTTATACTCATAACAAGCACTCAATAACATAATCATTAAACTATAAGTTTTCACATAATTAAAGTAATTTTTAATTAGATTTTTAATTTATTTTACAAATATGTAATACTTCAATAAATGTTGTAAAATAAAATTTTTAAATATCCACTTGCATTTAGTATGTTATCAACAATAAAGACGTATGATTTATACAAACTTAATGAAGTAAACCCATAATATCATCTAATGTATAGTTCTTCAGAAAATTATTTGCATTTTCTTTTAATGATTGATTAATAAATTTTGTAATTTCTTCTTGAAAATCTACAATAGTATCTGGAATAAGCTCAGAAATAACAGCACTAGCTAATTCGGAGATTTCATCATCGTTGAACAACCCCGTGATTTTTATCTATTGGAATCCATAGAAAATCAAAAAACTTATTGAGTCTTAATCAGATAATTTATTAAAATCACAATAGATAATATAACGAACAATTAATAATCAGTAATTAATATTCTATAATAATCAAATCTTTTATAAAGTAATATCAAAATTTTATTTTAAAAACATAATTTTTTAAGATTACTTAGTTATATTTATTAATAATCCGATAATGAAAAATGAATGCAATAAAATATTTCATTTTAAATTAAATATTAATTTATGTCTAATACATGTATCTTAAATATTTTTCTAGTTAAATGTATTAAGTAATAAAAACTAATACGATGAAAATTTTTAAACGATTTTATCTTATTTATTTGTATCATTTATATTTCTTTTAAATGTTTAGACTTTTTTCTACACACATTTTAAAATTTAATAAAAATATTTAAAAATTGATATCAAATAATTTTTAAATTTATGAGTGTGTAATTTTTATGAAGTTTGAAATTAAATGGTTAAATTTAGCATAAAAACAAGAAATCAGATAAAATTTTGCTGATATAATTAAATGAGTAAGTTACAAAATACCTTTATATCTTCTATGGAAATTTTAGTACTGCTAAAATAACTAATTGATACTTCTTTGGTTTTGAAATTTACTTTTAACTTGGCTTGGGTAGAAAAGTAGAAATTATTTATTTCGTAGCTGAAATCATAAGGTGAACAATAGTATAAAAAAATAATAAAAATATATAAACATTTTAGTTTTATTTAAATACAACTTACAAATAAATTTGACAAACATGGATAAAAATTTTCACAATAGTAAGTAATTTGTAGTGAGTAATTTGTAAGTAAGTATGTGATTTGCATAAAAATTAATAATTTCATTAATATTATTTAATATAAATTAATTTTTCTATTTATAAACATTATTATTATATTTCGATTTATAAAAAAAAATGTTCAATCTTTCTTCATTCTAAAATTTTGAAACATAATTTCGGGTTGACAAAAACACCATCTTATTTTATTTAAAAATATGTAAAAATATAATTGCATGCTAATGATATAGAATCAAACTTCAAAATTATAAGATTTATTTAATTAATGTTGCATGTATTTAAAAATTTTATATAATAATACCCAATTATTTCAATATTTAAAAATAAAACACTATGTTCATTTTTTACGTTTCATTTTACAAGTAATATGGAAATATAAAATACAATAGTTTACTTACTATAGGTCGCCTGATCCGTAGACGAGAATTTTGTCAAGTGCGTGTCCTTGCACATCATAAGCAGTCTTCCCCTTAACATTAGGCCATAAGAAATCAACCGTAATATTCCATTTAGCTATTTTAAAATCTGCATTTCGTACAATGTAAGTGGACAAACCGTCAAAGTTGAAATTTGCTACCGCTATAGTGCCGCTAGAAATATAAAAGTTCAATATTAGTTTTATATCTTATAAAAAATAAATTTAAATTAATGTTTAACATAAATGAATTTTATACTAACGTAAATATATTATTTACAGCGTTGATTTCTTTGTGAGCTAAATAAAATGGATCCAATATAGGAATTCCAATAGTAGCATTTCCTGATTTTATAATTTCTTTTAAATTTTCAAGTGCCTTCTTGAATTTATCACTAATAGACCGTATTGCAAGATCAGTAACTACGTTAACCAACAAAGGAAAATATTAACATTTTTACTATACTATATGTATGTTTCTAATATGTATATATATATATTTATTTTTATTAATAAATGATTTATCGTTTATTATTATTGACCATTATAAATTATGTATTATATTATTATATATTATATTATATATATATTATATATATTATATATATTATTATATATTATATATTATATATTATATTATATTATTATTTTTAAAATATTAAAATACCTCCTTTAAATATATATGAAAATCATATTAGTTATAATTCTTTAAACAGAAAAAATTTATTTACGATAAGTAAAATTCATCCTGAATATTTTTTTAATTTTATATATAGTATTTAATATATTTAATATATAAAATTTAAGATATAGTATTTTATAATTATATAAATTACTATTTTTATAGTTATCGCTAATTTGATAAAAACAGATAATTTTAAAATATTTAGCTATAAAAATTAATATAAATTTTTTTATATTTTCAATACTATTATATTTTACATAGATTTTACAGTTAATAATACAATAGAATTTATATTTTTATAAATTCTAACCTTGAAATTATTAACTGTATTCAAAACTGCAATTTTTTAAATAAAGCCATCTACTTTAATTTAAAATACTTGTAATAGATAAAATATTTATAGAAAAATATTTCAATTCAATATTCCATTCAATTCTTATAAAATTATCTTAAACTGATCATAGTTACTCTCATATATTATTTATAAATAACTTATGAAAACTTAGTATTTGCTAATACTTTTTTTATAGATATTAATTTTTTAAATATTTTTTAAAAATTTTCTGACAGATATTAATGTTAGAATTGCTATCCATTAATATGAACTGTTAGTTAATTTTTATATTAAATTTTTACTCTACTTTACAATTATTATTTAAATTATCTCGTCCTATTTTTTCGAAATTTTGATTTAAATTTTACTTAATAATTATTAATCTTAAATTAATATTTTTATTGCTCTTAAATTTTATTTGTACCAATATTAATGCTTTTGCTTTTTTACAAAACTGTATTTTAATAAATATATTTTAAAAAATAATAATTACAATTATTAGTAAAAAATATAATTAGTATTACTTTTCATTATTAAATTTTCAATTTTTAAAAATTTATTATTTATTTTCTTTAAACACTCGCTATAAAGTTACAGTGTTAATATTTTATTAGAAGACAAAACTATCTCTTATAACCTAATAACTTCATAATTAAAATGTTTTTCTGAAATAGTGATAACAAATGAAAGAAAATTAATTTTCTTAATCTTGAACATCTTGAAACCAATAACTAAAAAAATAGTTGTGAACAAATAAAACTAATTAATTTTTTAAGTTTCTTTTTTACTATTTAAGAAATCTTATTTTTATTTGAAAGAGATTTTTTTATAAATCATTCGACTCACGTATTTTAATTAATTGTATCAAAAGATGTTAGAATAAATTCACTTTTAATTAAATTTTTTATTTTAATTTAAAAGCTTTTCTAAATTCCTAGCATGAAGTATAATGCAGATAATTTAGTACTATAAATATACAGTGAAAGTGGGACTACAATAAACAAATTAAGTGTATTACAAAAGTATTTTACATTTATCTATAATTAAATAAATATTTATATACTACATCGTATATTTTAATTATTGTAAAGAATAAATATTATTATACTGAAACTATAAATTTATTATTAATTATAAAATATAAACTTAAAATAATGTATCTATCAGTTATTTGTATAAAAAAATTTAAATTAATTTCAAATGTATTTTAAAAATGATTGGCTTTATATGAAATATGTACATAATTGCATTATTATATAATTTCAGTAATTCATCTTTTTATCGGATTCGGTAAGTTTCAAATGCACAATACCACTTATGATTACGTAATTAAAAAATTTATTGTAACCGAAAGAATATGGCAGATGAAATGTATGAAATTATTCAACGATTTACAATGAAACTAGGCAGTTTCACTTTAAGCATGAATTTATTATGCAATATTTAGGAAAATCTTGAACATGTTATAAGTATAGCGAGTAGATAGTATCTAATATTTGAAGCTGAGTGACAAAAAAGCTTGCTATTTTAAAGCCATACTAGTAGTGCCAACATCTTTTTGCAGTTCTTTAGTCAATGTGGGCCGTTTCGACCGTTGGAATGCATTCCCTTTTCTTAATAAAACAAAAGTGCAACGATGCCTTGAATCTCCAAAATAGTTTTAGATACGAAGATAAAATAACTTTGAAAGTTTCCTTTACGTGAAAATTATGCTTTTCGTTGCAAAAATTTTTACCTCGAAAATCATCCAAATACGCCGCATAAGTCAGTTCACAGACTACTGCCGATAAGAATAAAAACACCACTATCTTCATTATCTAAAAATAAAAAATAATGTAAAATAATTCTGCGTATATCCAAACTTATGAAGTATTTAATTGGTTTTAAATAAATATTTAAGTTTATATTTTGATTAGTTTATTTATTTTAATATGAAAATAGCTATTAATTATAACATAATATTAAACCACAATTATTAGTTTAGACATAATAATGTTTTGAATTTAAAATTATTTTTACAGTAGAAATTTTGATAATTTATTTTATTTATAAATTCAGTTTCATAAATACCTTAGTTCAAATGAATCGAAATAAAATAACAGGTTGAATCTTTAAAAACGAAATGATCCAAATTATAAAAGCGTATCTTAAATCTAATACTAATAAATACTTTTACATTTCCGATTACAAATATTAATCTTATCGCCATATACCTTACTTGAAATATTTCGATAATACTGATTACAACATTTAAATTAATTTTAGAGCCATAATCTTGAATTTGTATGGAATATATACAAATATTGCTGTAATACCAATATATTTTTATCCATTTGATTCACTTCCAAAAACTAAAAAGAACATATTGCTGAAACTAACATTTATTAATAAATATCTATATTTTTAATAGTATTAAAAAAAAAATTAATAAATTTTTATAATTTTTAGTTATTTTTTTATAATTGCAAATGTGTATATATAAACTGTACAGAATTAATAAAATATTTATAATATGCTACTAACAACATGAAATAAATTAACATTGTTATCTTGTTTACTAAAATAGCTGTGAATATTGTAATTAATAAAATTAATTTAAAGTTGTATTAACATTTTCATATATAATTTCAAATAAATAAATATTAAATAATATAATATAAAAAAAATGCTACGTGATATGTTATCAAGAAAATCTTATATTTTATATTAAATTAATCGTTATTATATTGTTTGTAATTTAATAAATATCTGTATGTATGTGTCATATGTACGTTTTATATTAAATAAATATCATTATACTATTATTCATAGTACATCTCATTCTTTAAATCAAATTTCATTACAATAAAATATCTAGATAAGAATATTTACGTAAATGTTTCAAGATGATCACATAAATACCAAAGTATACGTTGATGTAGATATATAATAAAATCCAAATTAATGTATTAATATCAATTAAATAAGAAAGAAAAATTAATAACTGGACATAAATAGTATTTATTCTTCAATTGCCAAACTTATTTTATTTTTATTACGCAAAATAATATTATTGTACATTCTTATTATTATTATTATTTTCTAATTATTATTATAAATGGTTATAACTTAATTGCAATTTATTTCATATCAATTACTGATTACATAATTCAGTTTATATATACATAGAATTTTCGTAAGACTTATTTAAGAAATATTGTATTTATGAATTACTAATTCAGACTAGATGCAAATATTATTCATTTATTATAAAATATTAACTCTAGAAAAACAATGTCAACGGTTAGAAAAACAAGTTTATCGATAGTTGAATTTGGATTACAACGGATCAATGAATATTTTTATTTTAAATAAATGGTTACTAATAAATTATATATAGTTATTATAAATGGTTAATATAAATAATAATAAATAGTTAATGTATAAATCATAAAAGACGATTGGATGAAATGTAGAAAAAATTTGAATAAATAGTTCGTAAATTCTTACCAAATATAGCAAAGTTCATACTTTTCAGTCATCTAAGTATGAAGTCACTATCAATTTAAAATTTAGAAAGTGCTTAATCTAATTGTACATTAATGAAACCAATATATCAATTTGCGTATAATAATTATATTACAAAATGAATGTGTTGTAAGTACATAAAAATTATAATTTGATCGTTCACGAAATGAAAAATTTATTGTTTATAACGAACACAATATTTTGAAACATGTAACATTCCAAATAATGCAAATTATAAATTTGAAGTTTAACTAGGAATTATAATCAATTAAAAAATTATTAATAACTATTATACATCTAAAACAAGAATATACTTACATAACAAAACTTAATTAGTTTAAAGTAATTAATAATTCAGAAAATAATACTAAATAATTTACAGGAAAGTTGATTAAAATTAAGTATCAATAATTTTAATAAAAGTATTAAAAAGTAAACAATAAACAAAAATTATACTCACCTTATTATAATACACTTAATACGTACTTTAATGTTTTGAAAATGAAATTACATATTACATGTAATATTAAATATATGTAATTTTGTCCTGAATTAAATCAACATATTGCATATATAAAATTTTTTTTTAATTTTACCTTTTATTCTATATTAAGAAAATAAATATTAATTTATGTTACCAATAGTATTTTAGATAAAATTTATTTTATTCATAAAAAAAGTTATCTTTTCATATTTTTAAACATTCATTTATTATTAAAAAGCAATATTTTTAATATTGTCTAATTAAGTATAATTAAACAGCAAGGTGTAAGTTCTTCAATACAATATCTATTTCATCCTTATTTATTGTTAATACACTACAAGTAATAAATTATTAACGGTATTCATAGATTTATTATTAAAAGCTCTTAATATCATTACTAACAATATCATAATAAATCAACATGTTCAATGCATTTTAAGTCATTTGTAAAATTAGAATAATAGACAAGATTGGAAAAAAAAACTAAATATTTTCAATATCTATCTTTCTATATTATGCAATATCTATCGATTATTTATCAGTATCATTAACATATTGTTAATTACTTGCTTATAATTTGTATTATAGTTTATCCTTATTCAAATTCTTATATATTAATTTTGTATAAAATTGTTTGAAATTGTTCGATTATATTTTTATATCACGTAAATAAAATATAATTTATTTGATGGATTTGATTGAATAAAATTATATACAATTTAATATTACTATTTTTATAGATTCTGCACCTCTTGATAAATAATTTAATAAATATAAAACAAGTACAAAATATTTTATTAAATAATAACAATATTTTTAATGTTTTAATCATTTTTAATTAACAAATTATTTTCCTTTCTACAAAGTGTACAATTCATATATACATCATTTTAATTAAAAAAAGCTATTACTGATGTATTGATAAAATAGTAAATGAAATTACATTAAACGTTTCTTTATAAGCATATATTTTGAAAAATTTTATTTAATAAACAAATAAAATTATAATAAAAATTTAGTAAATACATGTATATTTAGTCCATATTATTTAGGTACATCGGCTAGTTTAAATTTTATGTTTATACCTGAACTTTTTAATTTTTCTTCTAAAGCAGAAATCTGTCTTAACGACCTTCTAACATTTTTATAGTAATTAATTTCTGATACTGGACTTTCATTCTTCTTTAATTCTTTCATCCTATTTAATATTCTTGGATAATTCTTAGAACTCCAAGGTTTATGTGAAAAGAATCCCCAATGCTGTTTTTCAGGTGGAATATAAGTGGCTATAACATAAATACAATTATAATAAAAATAATTAGAATACGAATACTATAATCTATTTTTAATGCTAATATTTAATTTTATTTTTACTTTAATGCTAAAATTTTTAGTAATGATATCTTATAATCTTTAAATATTTTATATGAAAAATAATTACTTGTTAACAGTCTACCGCACATTAAATAATTATGCATTGTTTTAGCAGCTACTTTAGCTACTTCTGGATGTCTGAATTCTATGTATCCATATCCACGACTTTTTCCAGTCTAAAAATTAATTGCAAACCAAGTTTAATAATTTAGAAGCGCTTACAAGCAAATATAACTTTTACTTACCGAAAAAATTCTTAATTAGAAAATAAAAAATTATATACACATGTATTATAAAATTAAAAGAATAGTTCAGAATTATAATTAAGACATAAAACAGGTTATTTGTAAGCAAATTATATGTTAAAACATTGATATATACTGTTTTCTTTTTAAAGACTTACTTTTTTTGATCGTACCACTCTCACTCTGGTGACCGTTCCAAATTGTTCAAAATATTCTTTCATTTCATCTTCAAAAAATCCATAAGGAATGTGTCCAATATATACGACACCTCGTGACGATTTATACCCATTTGATTCTTCAACTTTCGTTTTAGGTTTCTCTAAAACTTGTTTCTTAACAGCTCCTTTATCTTTTTTCTACAATATAAAAGTAAAACTGAACTTCAAAATATAAATGTTTTTAAAAAATAATTTAATTTCCAAAACAACATTATTATATCTGTGTAATAAAAACGAGATAAAATAAATGTCACGTTTTTATTATTAAAAAGTGAACTTGAGGTTTATATATATACATATAGGTTATATTAAATACAGTAGCGTACTTTAATAATTTGTTTCACATTTGTAACTGCCTTGCTCAACGCAGATGATCGTGAAGATTTTACTTTCTTAATTTTCATCTTTTACTATATAGTTACCACAAAATACATTAAGAAAAAATAATATTTAAAAATCCACAAGAACAAATAATAATATAGATTCAAATGAAAACTTAAACATCCAGCACAGGAAGGTGCCGATGAAAATAATAATAATATTTTTAACGCATGCGCAAAATAGTGTATACCTGACTATATATAATTAATCATAGGAACAGTCTAATAATACACGGAGAAGCAACTACATTTTTAAGGGAATACAAAACTAAACACTATTTTATTTTAAGATTAATCAATTTAATAAAAACTTATATAAACTTATCAGAGTTTTTAATAAGAACATGCATGTTGTTTATATCAAATTGTACTTTTAAAATTTTTTCAAATATTCATTGCATTCTGCTTGGAATACATTTTCCTTATAAAAAAATCCTATCATAATTGCGTACTTTTATTCTTCCTCAAAATTGAATAAAATAATTAATACTTATTTCGAAGCATTGGCAATTATAAATTATAAAGAAAACTTATTTGAAATCAATTTTTTATTAACAATTGCATATTCTTGAACAAAATTTTAATTCTTTATTTGTTTAAATATAAGTACAAAATTATTACGATGTTAATAAATAATAAAACTTACAATGTTCAGCAGTAAAAAATGAAAATGTATAAAAATAAAATCTAGACGGAAAATACGTATAACAATAGTCCATGAGTTTAATGTAAAAAGAAAAATTATAAATTATGGTGAAGTAAAGTCAAGAGCAATATAAAAATATATAAAAATATATATAAATGTGAATAAATATTATAAATATTTTTAAAAAGAATTAATTGATTTTGTATTTTTATTTTAAATATTAACTTATTTATTAACAAACTATAAAAAATTCAGAATAATAAAAATAATGAAACAATATTTTATATTTTTAAAATATCTATCAATTGGTGTTAATCTATAATAACACATTATTAGTTTAACTCTTTTTGATTTTATTTATTTGAATATAAATTAATATTTTAAAAAGTACATAATTGGTTTCATAATAATAAACATTTATAAATAAAATTTAAATCTATAATTATGCATGGTTGTTCGTTATCTGTTTAAAGAAATATGCAAATAAATGTTAATATATAAACGATATTAATATCAATAAATCGCTTATAAACTTCTATACAATAAATTTTGTTAGCTAAATTGTACTAATATTTAGTTTAAATAGTATTTTATTTAATAAACGTCTGAGTAAATTCAGTAATCTGTGAATATTTTGTGTCAGTAAATATCATGTTCAGATCATTTTTAATGTAATTAATATTATAATGGAACAATTTTGAAAATCATAAAATAATGGCTGTGATTTAAATAGACAAATATTTTGGTCGTATAAAGAATATAATATGTTATTTTTACTTATAGAATTATTCGTACAACCTAGTAACCGCTCTAATTTATATGATATTATTAATAGGTTTATCATTTATTACTGAGAAATGATAGATATTAAAAAACTATTATTTTTATCATTCAATTATTTAAAAATTTTCCAACTAGGTTTATTTGAAAGTGTCCTTTAAAAGAAATTCCTTTAATATATATTTTAAATTTTATTATTTTGCTTGATAATGTAAAAATGAAACATATTTAGTAAATAATAATATATTAATGTTAATTTAATAAATATTAGTTAATGTAATAAATAGTAATTAATATATTAATGTTAATTATAAATTCTTAATTTTCATGATAGCAGAAATAATTATTGAGAACTAAATAAAAAATTGTAATTAGGAAATGAAACAAGATAGTAATTTCTGTTACTATTACATTTCGAATTATTTGATAAAATCTAATAAAATAACTGTCAAAATTGTGTTGTAACTTCTTGTACTTAATCATAGTGTTCTAATGAAAATATAAATATTTTGAATTCAGTATTCTTGCTTAAAAATGTTTAATAAAATAAAAAGTACTTTCTTGAAATTATTTTGGACAGTAATAAATATAAATTAATATTGAAGATTAGAATTGATATTTAATATTCAATAAGTAATTGTGATATTTGTTGACTTTTACAAACACGTAGATTTTATGCAAGACTTTTCTTCATCTCTATGAAGAGTCAGGGTAGTTGAAAAGATCCCTCTAAAAAATTGTTTATACTAAAAAAGGCAGATTGTTTTGTATTAAATATGTCAATATTGTTGTTCATGAATCAAATATAACCAACTACGCTTTTATCATCCTGGTTAAAATCAAAGTACATGAAATTTTATTTAAAAATAAAAATTTATAATAAATATAATAAAACATAAAATAATAAATATTTTTATTATTAATTGTAGTTTTTGTATTCTGGTTTAAAAAAATTGAATTTAGTAAAGTAATAGAAAATTAATGAAAATAATAAAGTTTTTAATGATTATTGTTTCTTATAGTTTCTAACAGCATTTTATAATGCATATAGGCTAATTTTTATATTCTGTCCATCATTATTTGATAATATATTTTATAGAAAATCGAACTATTATTTTTCTTAGAGTATTATTAAAATTTTGAAAGTAAATTTTGAAAATAAAATTTACTTTCCAAGTATTTTTAAAAATTTATTTTAATTTCATGTTAATTTGATTCAATAAAAATTTATATTTATGTTACAGATTTAATATCAGATAATATTTAACACAATTTAAGAACAGATTTAATCGCGCTATCAATTTTATTAAAACTTGTTAATTTAATAAATAATTAATAATTAATTTGTACATACATTTATTTTAACATTCTATAATATGATTATTTAATAAATTCAATTAACATGACGTGAATAAACAATTAGCATAAAATTTTATTCTATGCTGCACATATTACATTATAATTCAGTAAATTGTTTGTAACACATAATAAAAAACTGAAATTTATATTATTTCTTTTTAATTTCAAAATATTTGAAAAAAAATTACATGTAATGTTAAATTTTAGTAATTGTTTGAAAATACATGGAATATTAGGAATTATTTTTTAAAAATGAAGAATTTAAGTTTGACGTTTTTTGATTCGTTTGAAATTCATAATATACTTCTTTTCTAAATTAATTTTTATATATAGATCACCAAAAATATCACATAATCCGCAGGTTGATTAAATCTATAAACACAAATAAATTATATCTATTTCTTTATTATAGTGAGATTATAGCTTTTATAATTTAAATCACTGATTAGTACTTAAACAAATGTTATATTTACATGCCTTTGCTTTCAATTAAATTTATAATAATTTATTTATTATATAACAGTACAATCAATTTTCGATTATTAGTATTCTAACTATTCCAAATATGTTTATTTTAACACTAAAATAAACGATGTACTTGAATTGCTTATGTAATAATATAATCATATCTTTCAAATTTAGTGGATACAATTACACTCTAAGAAATCTTAAAATTGTCAACTATTAAATTGAAGGAAATAAATTTATGACAAAAGGTTTATTTACTTAGTCCAATTGAATAGAAAAATTCATTTATTAGCCTAAAATTTTTTATTTTTAAAATTATAATATGTTATTAAATGATTTTTATCTATCAATATATTTTATATCATATTTCGCTTACAATACAACGAAATATTGCACATTAAATTATTTTTTTATTATTGTCTGTCGTATTATCTGTACTATTTTCATTGCTTAGATATACAAAATTATATGTTCTAATCATTTCGTACAAATAATTACAATAAGGTACATTTATTAACTATATATAATAACTAGAATAAGATATTCCAATCTCTTCGGATTAATTATATTAAGAATTTGAGCTAATAGCAAGAAGTCAATACCTTATTATACTAAAATATACTAGAATTACTGGCTTGCAGATAACTTAAACTTACATTTACTATGTAAAAAACATCATTTTCTCACAACTATTAAACTTTCGAAATGTGTACAATATTTTCAATGACTAATATCGTAATTGAGATCATAACACTTTTTATAAAAAATGGATTAATGTATTAATTAACCAGTAGTTATGTGAACGACTTCAGCATACTATCAGAAAACAAACCTGATAAACGGATTTAGGAATTAAGAAGACCTTACGGCTTCGTTTACAAGATATAGACAGACAAGTCCAATGAGACATATTCTTGTCAAACGTGTTCTTTAACAGTTACAGACGGAAAAACGTAACTACTGACTATTCGCTGAGTAAGTTATTACTCGATCGCATCATTACCTGACTGGTTCAGAGCTTCAGCCTGGACTCTGCGTGAACAATAACATTTTAAGTTAATTTAAGTGGATTTGAGTAATAAAAATGCATATCAGATCTAATAAATTCTGCATCTCTAATTTAATTATTTCTTCCGCTCAACAAATACCATTCTTTCGACAAATGCTTCTTTTTCAACATAATCAAATCACTAAATGATGAAAGCTATATCAAAAATTGTTGATAATGCTGTTGCAAAATTAATTATCTTATTTTCATGAAATAGATAAATACAAAAAACAATAGAAAAAATTCACAAAGAGTGCTACATTTTACACAATTAACTGTAATATATGTATATATAAATATATATATTTTATATAAATATATATATTTATATAGCATATATATTAGCACTTCAAACTAATTCGTTAACAATATTTTGTTATAATTGATAATTAATAAAATGAAGTATTTACTAAAATAGCGAAATTAAAAAAAAAACATTGTATCTTAACAAACATTATGTATTTAAATTAAATTTATAATGCTAATTTTCTACGTAATAATTTTAAATAAATATCATTCCTTGTTTGAAACAAATAAAAGTACCTTACTATTTATTAAATATAAAACTATAAAAATATGTTATTTAATTTACTTTATTTGATTATTATCAACTTAAGCATAAATCAATATGTGAAATTATTGTGAAAAGTGATTATAAAAATGATTATACCGCAGTTAATTATCCATAAGAGAAAATATATTTTTTTAACATTATTAAGGAAGGGCATTAGCATTTTTTTAGTATAGTTAGGTAACATTTTTATGATCTATTTTATACGTTTGTATTTTACTATCGTATGGTATTTGTTAAAAATTTGATATTCATATTATAATAGATCTTTATTCATGCAGTAATGCAGCAATAAATAAACAAAGTATAGCTATAATTTTTAAAATTTTTTCATAAATTTCATTTCATTTAATCCAAATAAATAGTTACACCACTGATAGTTTTTCGTGATAATTATTTCTTAAAATACTTTTATAAATAGTTTGGTTTTTTATTTCATACGCACATTATTATTCTACGCGATTTTATTTTTCATAATTACAATCATCTATTTATCAAATTTATAAAACGATTCTAATATTAATGCAAAACAACGTATTGCTACAATTATTTTACATCTTTAAGTATTCAAAAGAATTAACAATACATTTTAATACCAAATATAAAAAAAATTGTATTTATACTATTTATATCGTATTACTATTGATTGCATTTGTAATATATATTGTATGTATTATTATTGTTTTATAAAAATATAACAATATTAATATTTTTTAACAATTGGTAGCAAACAAATAAATTTAATTAAACAAATAATAACGTGATAACACAGATGCGTGTCACTGAGACATTATCATGTTTGTCAACAGATAAAAAATATTACATGAGATATATGTAACGTACCATGTATGACCCAAAAAAGAAACTATGCCTTCTTCTTGCATCTGGAATTGAATTCAAAACATTTTTGTTCTTTTAACTGCGCACAATATAAACATCCAGTTCTACAGAATTTCTTAATAAAAAATGATAGTTGGACATGAGTTTTTGAATAAATATATATTTTTATTATTATTAAATTTACTAGAATCCAAAATAATGCATTTTTAATTTATAAAGATAAAATATATAAATATACAACTAATCAATATAATTGAAAATATTTGTGTGTGTGTGTTCAATTGAATATTTGATAATACCCGCCACTCCCTTAGCCAATAGGCTGGAAGTACAAATATTGAAAAATAAGATAATTTCTATATATATATATTTTTTTCTGTTCTTTCAATAATTAAATAATATTTATAGGTTTATTCAAATTTACTCACTTAATTTGTATTTTCCTATTATTATCTATATTCCCATACACAATTCAATTGATTCCTAGTTTAAATCTTGTCATTGCATTCTAGTGCCTTTTTTATCTTCGGTATTATATTTTTACCAATCAGCATCCAATCTGTATCATAAAAATTATTCCATAAATAGGTTAAATGAAGCTTCCACAGTAATTTTATAAAAAAATGTTAGTCAACATTATTAATTAAGAAATACGAATTTAATAATAGTGAATGTGTTAATTGTTAAAAAATTTCTTACTCAATATGAAACATCAGTTTTCTGATACTAAACCTAATCTAAATATAAAAACAGAAGCTGATGAATGTCTTTTTGAATATCTTCATGGAGAGATGGTTAATTATATTGTTGGTAAATCATTAGAAGATACAAATGTAGAACTCTTTATTCTTTATATGTAAAATACTGTATAAAATATATATTACTAACAAAATGATATAATTACAGGATATAGAAGAAGATCTATCACGTCTTGAATGGATGGGCTTCAGTGTCGGATATCGTATCATTGAAAGATTAACTAGAGAATGGCCAAGGTTCAAAGATGAATTGGATATTATAAAATTTATATGTACAGATTTTTGGACTAGTCTCTATCACAAACAAATTGATAATTTGCGTACAAACCATCATGGAGTTTACGTATTACACGATAATGAATTTTGTTTATTGGCCAAGATTGGTAAAAGTGGAAGTAAGCAATATTTAAGAGAGAGTCCAAGGTTATTGGCATTTACATGTGGACTTTTAAGAGGAAGCTTAGCAAATCTTGGTATTGTATGTACCGTTAAGGCAGAAGTTTCTGCTTTACCAAGTTGCAAATTTAATGTTGAAGTACAGAGGATTTAAATTAATTTTATTAAACATATTAAGGATTATTTATTATCTTGTAAGTCAATTCTAATACCTTAACAAATTTTTCTTTTACAAATTTACTTAAAAAATTTTGTTTTATTTTTAATAAAAATAACATTGTAAAATTTAGATATTAGTATAAAAGCAAATTTTTATTTAAAAATTTTTTCATTACAAATTTGTTGATATTATCAAAAGATAAATGTATATAATATCAATGTAAAAAGTGTAAAACGAAAATTGTGTAACAATTTTTGATGAATGAATTACATCGTTATGAATCATTACATATTCATATATAAGGCATACAAGTTTTATTAATGACTGATAAAATTTAAAAAATCAATTTGTGTTAAAATTCCTTTAACTGTATTATTACTCTGCTCATCAATAACAACAACATATGCATCTTTCTGAAGAATTAGAGATAATTCTCCAAGTGATGTTTTTAAATTAATTTTCTTAAACTGCTTTTTAAGTATCTTTTCTACTAAGTCTGTCTGTTTTATTTCTCCAGAAATTATACTATTAAAAAGTTTTTCTGCGGTAATAAAACCTTTAATATTTTCTTTATCACCCACTGGTATTTCATGAAAATTTTCATTTTTTAGTAATATCACTGCTTCTTTACACGTAGAATTACTTGGCAGTATAAACAATTCATTCAAAGATATTGAATGTACTGTTAAGTCCCACCACCATTCATTGCCTTTTATTAATTGTGGTAGATTCTAAAATATTAACAATACAAAAATTTATTTTATTATACACAAGATATTCAAGTATATTATGCAACTACTTACCAAAAAATTTCTAGATTCCATCCATGCATCAGAAATAAACTTTGTCATGTAATTACGAATTCCATCTGGTAAAATTATTACAACACGTTGATCTTGTGAAAGATTTTTAGCAATTTTTAAAGCTGCTAATAGGGCAGATCCACTGCTCCCACCACACAAAAGTCCTTCATCTCTGATAAGTTTTCTAGATGCGTGAAAAGATTCTCCATCTGTTGTTTTAATCCATTTGTCTATAACTTTTCGATCCAAAACAGTAGGAATAAAGTCATAGCTACATTCATATTATACTTATTTAGTTAATAATTTATTAGTAATTAATATGTAACTATTCATTAAAAATTTATTATACCCTATGCCTTCAACATCATAATATTGTAATGGGCTATTGTTTAATTCTGGTGGTTCAGCAAGTATACTTCCTTCAGGGTCAACAGCAATTATTTTAATATTTGGTGATAATTCTTTAAGTTTACGACCAATTCCACTAATGGTTCCTCCAGTTCCTGCACCAGCAACTAAATAATCAATTTTTCCTTCACATTGCTCCCAAATTTCAACTGCTGTCTGATCATAATGAGCTAAAGGATTTCCTGTATTGGTATACTAATCAACAGAAGATTATAGAATAATATTGAAATAATAATATAATTATTCTACAAAAAAAAAAATTCATATTTAATATTTTATTATTTACTTGATCCAAAATAACACTATCAGGAATATCTTTTTGTAATTTTTGAGAAGTTGCAATATGACCCTCTGGACTATTCCAAGCAGCTTCTGTAGGTGTACGTACAATTTCTGCACCTAAAGAACGAAGGGTATAAACTTTTTCATTAGACATCTTTTCAGGCATCACTATAATGCACTTATATCCTTTAACAGCTGCTGCCATTGCCAATCCAATTCCAGTATTTCCACTGGTTGGTTCAATAATTGTACATCCTGGTTTTAGAAGACCTTTTTCTTCAGCATCTTGTATCATTCTAAAAGCAATTCTGTCTTTAACCGAACCACCAGGGTTCATGTATTCACATTTTGCAACTGGAATAATGTTTATAATTAAATTCATGTCAAAATTTCCAACAAGAAAATACTTAGTAAAATTACACTTACATATTTCACATTTAATTCCAAAAGACTTTGGAATATTATTGAGTCTAACCATTGGTGTTTGCCCAATGGCATGGAGAATGTCTGGTAATACCTTTTTTCGATCATTTAGCCTGCAATAGATAATCATGGTACTTTATAAACAATAATTATAAAAACAATGTGCAATGTTAAAAATTTAATTCGTAAATAAGTAAATAGCAACGAAGTTTATTTTTAAATAGATTGTCAAATATTGTGTAAAATTTTGGAAAAACAAATTATAGGTAAATGGGTTAAAACTATTTAAAATAATATTATATTATTTTTTAATTAATTAAAATTTTTATACATATTATTTAAAATCTTTTGTAAAATGAAGGAAATTAAAAGGAAAATAAATTATTAATTGCTAATATAATGAATCATGTGATCACACAACCTACTTTGTGAGCTGAATTTCAAACGGCTCATCGCTTAATACTTGTCAAGGGCATTGTTTGCATGAAAGAAAAGTTCATCAGTAAAAAATCTGGGACAAAGGTTGGACATCTGTTCCTCATTAATTGTATTCGAAACTTGCGGCATGTATTATTACATCGAGGAAGCGAATGGTAAATCGACTCTGCGCACTGTGAGTACTGCAAATGTATCCGCTTCGCACCGAACATTTCCTGAATAGACGCCAAAATTTAGATGCCAATGGCCACATCTCGTGCAGTTTGAACTTTTATTTATCATTATTTTATGATTCTCATAGTTTATGACTCTGCCTTTGGTTACATTCATATATTTACGTACATTTAACATACATTTACTGGCACTAACATTAATATATGCTCGGCTTTGTTTCGTGATGTGCTTGCTTTTGTAAAATACAAGACTTTAAATTTATTGAGCATTATAATATAGAACTATGATGAAATTGCAGGCAAATATTTGAATTATTATTTGTTTATTGTAATGAAGTATTATTACAGAATAACTATACAATTTTAAAATAATTTGAATGTAAAATTAACCAACAGTTGAATATATTAAGCATTAAAAAACAGAGATCGAAATCGAAAAAATTAACAGGTAAGTGCACTTACGTGGCTTATTAATGACAGGCAAGAAAAAGACACTTGAAATAATTATGTAAATTTTTTCAGAAATAGTGGTAGTAAAAATTGCACTATGATTATGAAAGATTATCATTAGGTAATGTGTAATATTACGAAATGCCATATAAATTGTCGTTAAATCATAAAGATTAATTTGAACCTTTATTTAATCTTAAGTTTCAATATTTATTTTTCAGTTTAAAAAAACCAGGGGACAAAATGAATAGAGGACGAAATAGAAGCACAAGAAAGGTATCGTTATTTATTTAAAATGGGTGCATAGTGTTGTGCAAGGGATAACACATCGCATAATATATTGGCTAGTACCTTAAAAGCGAAAGAAAATAGTAAAGGAGTCTTAATGGTAAAAATCTCACTTGCTCCGATCCGTATGTGGGCTATGCAAAGCGTTTGGCTTCCACGTGCATTGACTCGGTTTGTCCGGGCGCAGCAATTCCAAATCCATTTTTCTCGTTATTTAATACACAAATTTACAACAGCGCAGTCTTCGTTAGCAATGAGTTCTAACGTTATTAACAACAGTATTGCGAAAACCCGACAATGATTTACTAACACACGCCACTTTTAACTTACTAACACTACAAGCACGTTGCTAAATTCAGCAATTGCTAAATACTACAAGCCACGGATATCAGTTGTGCGCGAGCAGGACAACATTACGGGCTATTTCACAACTATACGTCTAAGAGCAACGTTCCTCGAACGACGAATCCCATTCTTATTCGTAAATACAAATACAAATACTAATCCTAATACCTCTAGTTATTTAAGTCCCCTAGTCTTTTCCTTAAGCAATTGTCATGCAATAGGCATCGGTTAAGTTTATTCACAGAGGTTATGAAAAGAGAGTGCTCCTTCATTGGTCGAAACTTGGTTACCATAAAAAATTTAGATTGAACATTTTAACAAGAACATGTGAATGCCAGACATGTGAATCTTTCAATAGAATTAATAAGTAACATTAAAATCCTCTAAGTAAGAATTGTAGACATGCATTATCCAACTACAAACAGAACGATTTGCTCTATATTATATGGAATTAAATAATATGTATATCATTATAAGTAATTATCATCCAATGATGAATGAAGTAGAAATGAATTGATAAATATTAATGTAATTAAAGTTGTAAAATCTAGACACGTAAATTGTTTGATAGAAAGTATTAATGCATTTTCGAAAATTTATCAAGCACAATCGTTTTTATTCATAATTCTACATCTATATAACAATTATTATAAAATATAAAATAACAATGTAGATTAAAAAAATTGATTATACTATCAATGCTATAGTGATTAGGAAAATTACAATGTTTTTATTATAAAATTCGCTTGCTGCTTGGATATTTAACTCCAATTTTATAATAATTCATCTTAGTTTTTTGTACATTTAGATGAAATTCTATTTTAAAAAAATATTGAATAAGATTATATTATTGAATTTAACGAGGAAATTCAATTATTAAATCAATCATTGTTAATATTAACCTTCCTAAACATTAGTAAATATACAACAAACGTTTCATAACTAATGAATATAACTCTTTATTGTATAAATTCGTATTCGAAATTCAGTATATATTTCGCAGAAGATTATAAGTTTGTAATAAATTTGAAATAAATTCGAAATGAAAATAAAATAAATAAGCATTATCCTATTCTAATTAAATTTAAAATGTTCTAAGGAATTAATAGAGCTATACATTTAAAAGATATATAATTTTCTTGCACTAAGTAAATAATTTATCATTATATTTTAATAATATTAATTCATAATGTCGATTAATTTTATTGAAAAAAAAGACGATATTTAATTTAATGTTAAGCTTGAAAAATATAAAACTTGTTATTGAAATTATTATATGGAAATAAGGTACAGTATCAATAATTATAATTCAGGGTATATTACAATAGATTAGGAACATAAACTGATAATAAAGAATATTACTACATTTATATTTTTATCCATAATTTTGCTAAATCAGTTTTATTAAAGAAATATAATACCTTGTATGTTACTAATATATATATATCCTAAGTTTCATTGTAACCATTTTCTATATCTATGATTTTAGATTTTTGTTGAAAAAAGTTCTAGGAATATAATTACTACATAAATAATAGTAGTTATTTTAGTTTACTAGTAGTTTAATTTTACTTAATTGAAATATATATTTTCAATAATTACATTTCTTTTACTTGTAAAAACTAAATATAACTAATTCTCTGTTAATTTAAGTGGTTTTATTATTTACTACAAATTTTATATGATCATTTATCAATTAATTGTATTTGTAATTTGTACAAATTTATAATGTACATTGATGTCACTAATTAGTTAAAAATAATTATAAAATATATATTTTAAAAATATATATAACAAATGAAATAAAAGAATCAAAACCTAATATATTAGTTTTCGAAACTACCAAATCTATTTATATTTTTAAGTATCTATTTTTTTATACTAAAATATAATTTGATAACTGATGATTTAATTTTAAGTTTTATGATTTTAAGATTTATCCATTCTTTTATATTTATAAATATTTATATATATATAATTTTAAAATATTCAGAACGTAAATTCACGAACGTACATATGAATTTGCAGAACGTAAATTCATAAATATATATTTGTTACATTCAAAATTGTACTACAGGTTGTAATAAAATTTATTTTATGAATAGAGCATTTATAATAATGTTGTATTATATTTAATTGTATTCTTAAAGTTAAATGGCATATACAATTTTTGTAATTTTTCAAATTTTAATAAAAAAAACAAATAATCGTTATATTTAAATCTTTGTAAATGAAAAATTTTTATTTCCTTATTAATTATATTTATACATATGTACGTAAATTTTAATAAGTTTTAATTTTTTCGTTTTTCAAGAATCGTTTCCTTATACTTGATTCGATTCATAATTTTCAATTTTATCTTTACGCAATTATTTTATATAATCCAACTTTTTTTTTTGTCATTTTTTAAATTATCGATTTCTTACAAAATAGAATAAGGGAATAATATCATTAATATTTGAAATATTAAGGTTACTAATTTTACTTTATTATCTTTTATCATTGAAAATTATATATAAATAATCAATTAGTTATTAAAAGGTCACTTGTAAATAGTAATTACGTTTTTCATGCATAATATATTATTTTTTTATATAATTTTATATTATTTTATATATCAATAATATATATTTTTTAATTGTAATAAGATTAACATTATTATTACAAGTAATATAAAAAAATACTTCTCATGAGCTACTGTCGTATTTATTTACGTAATATTGATTTGATAAATATATTATATTTAATTTTAACAATTATATACAATAGTAAAACAAAGTTCTTTATCTATTGCATTAATTTAATCTATATAATTTAATTTATTTTGAAAGCTCAGAAATATAATAGAATTGGAAATTCTTAATATTGTAATTAATAACAATCAATGGACTATCAATATTATGTTACTAATTTTTAATGATCTTGAACTAATTATAAAGTTAGCATGGTATTTGCTCTATAAATTAATAATTAAAAGAGTACTATAGAAGAGAAAAATAATAAATTATGGTAACAAAAACGAGTATATTCATTTAATTTATAGAAATAATATGATTTATAGCTTCATTAAAATTTTTAAAAGAATTTAAAATATTCAAAATATTATAAGTATTAGAAAATTCTATTAAAAAATACCTTCATCCAACAACTTATAATATCTCTTCTGATTTAAAATTAAATTGTTGTTTTATATTTGTATGATTGACAACGGCTATTTAGTTTATAGAATAGTAATAATGATATGTTTTATATCATTTAAAACCATAAATAATTTATCATAAATACATATTATTAGAGAGAATAATATTTATAATTTCTAATAAACACCATAACAATCGAAGCTGCCATATAATTTGGTTTTTTATTAAAATAATAATAGATCATGTTATTTAATAAAAAGTACTCTTTCTTATCAAGCCAGATAATATTGAACAAATGAAAAATTCAGTCTCTTATAAATTTATTTTTAATTACATATTATAATTGGTTTTAAATCTTCATCTTTCGTGTTAAGTGTGTATAATTCTAATGAAGAATTATTGCTCGATATAATGAATCTCCATATAAGATGGTTTGTTATTTTTATTAAAGAAATATTTTTATAAATATATCTTTTAAATTATAAAAATTTTAATGCTTACAAAGAAATTTTTCATAATTATGTATACCCTTTATTTTCAACAAATTATTTTCGGAAAGCAATTGGTATTCGAAATCAGCATAACTTTAAATGACGGACGTTTTTAAATGAGAATTCCAAAAGCATTTTTGTGTAGGTAGAACTAAGTAAACTTATAGCCAACGTCCGTTGCCTACAAAATAAAAAGCTGATGTACGCATGTTAATATTACTGAAAAGAACGCTAACGTTCAAATAAGAGGATAAGCCACAATCAGCGGCAGTTTTCTTAAAGCGACTCTCACTTCGACATCGATGTAATATGCGCGTACTTCTTTCCCATCGTAATACGAGCTATTCGGACACGAACTCACACCAACTTCCCGATCAAGAGAGAGAGAGAGAGAGTGTACATAACAAGCACACGGGCAAAAGCAAACACATGCACAAAGCACAGGCATAAGAACTCGCGTGACTAATTCGCGTAAAGTCGTCAGGCCCCGGCCAAGAAAAGGCGACGAAAACAGAGGGCACGGAGAAGTCGTGGGTGTAAGTAAGCGAGCGCGAGTGCAAGTGAGAGAGGAGGAAGGAGTGAAGTGGTGGAAGCCCCTGTGGAGTTAAGACGGTGGCTCGCATGCATGCGCAGGAAAAAGGGGGCAGGTGACGCGATTGCTTGAGGGGGAGAAGGTCGCGCGCCTGCGCATTCTACGGGCGCTCCTCCGCTCGCTCCTTGGTGGCGACGGGAGCAGGAGCTCCGAGTGCACGCCGCGCGAGGAACCGCGCAGTTTCCGCGAATCGGTGCTTACGGTTGATGTGTTGAGCAGAGCGCGGAGTCGTGCACCCCGGGAACAACGATGATGCTGGCCGAAGACACTACATCTGAGCCACGTACCTCCTTATCCGCAACCTCATTGATGTCGCTGCCTACCGGCTGGGACATGTAGGCGACTAGGCCCGGACGCCCGGACCTGCGGACCGCGACGAGGTGAGCCGTCGAGGAAAGCGCGAGAGACAAGAGCCGTTGCCTTATCGGGTGCCCCTGTCGGCTCTTGCCTTCGAGAGTGAAACACGAGTGAAACTCCCTTGAAAACTGGAAAACTACAGAAACCAATCCGATTCGGGACCTTTTGCCAAGTGCGATGGCAACGACATGATCCGCTCTCACCGTTGTGTCGTCTTATTCTACCGACTCGTGGCGACCAGCCCACCCCAAAGTTTCGCGCATGC